CATATCCACTCTCTTCTTTCTGCAGTTGTCATCTATATGATTCTCTTTTATCTCATAATTTACTTCTTCATTTGACACTCGATCTATCTAAGAAATTTTAATACAAATTACTAATTTAGCTTACACTAAGTTTCACAAGCTTCTATTTTTATTCAATTAGTATTCAATGTAGTGCATTACTCTATTCAAAATAATGTTATAATCTATTTTTGTGTTTTTCTGATGATTATGTTTGTTTTTTTGTTGGTGAATTGTTTTCTCTTTTTGAAAAATATAATCTTAACTTCAGCTATTCACAATTAATATCCATTGAACTTTTCTTTTCGCTTGTAATTTTACTTCCAAGGTTTGTAAAACTGTTTGTTATTGTCTACAGTTATATTAATGTCTACTTGTTATCTAATATGTACTAGTAATTTTATCTCGGTCTCATTAATTTTCATGTTATCGTCCTGTTTTAGTATCTTATTTATTTTTATAGCATTCTCTATACCTTTTTCACTGTCTGCTATCATTGTAATCTGGTACACAAACCTCAACTTTCTCATGTTTTCATGTTTGTTCTAGATTTAAATAAAATAATGTAGGTGATAAATTACACACTTGCCTTTTTGTATTTTGCTTTATCTTCTTCTTTTATTATACCTCATTAATTAACATAGGCATTAAAGTTTATATATTATTGACATCTGTATAAAAAGTTTATCTATATTTTGAATTGCTCGGTTATTCCTTTATCTTTTTTTCTTAAATTCAAATTGATTGTGTGAAAAATGTTCACCTATTTTTATTTCTATCCATAAGTGTACAATTTCCGTTAAAATCTTTAAATGCAATATTGGATTTATTTTTCTATGTTCCTCACATTTTTGTTTGAATTGAACCATAAATAAGACATATTAGGTATTAGGTGTATTCATGTATGATGATACATTTTATCCCTGTGAAATTAAAGAAGGCATAAGTGTTATTTTTTACTTATTTAAGTTTAAAATTTACTTGTTGTATGTTATATTTTATTTATTATACTCATTGTTTCAATGATTATTTCAATGTTTTTTTCCATTATTAATTATTGATACTATTTTATATTTGGATTTTCAATTATTGTTCTTAAATTTTTTTGCGTTAGGCTCCAGCTTTCGGTACATGGTGTCTAGTAGCAAATGAAATGTACAATTTATTTGTCTTGGCAAACAATCTTGATGAAGAGTCTAAAATTGCTATGGAAACGTTGAGATCAGTTTTAGATATTGATACCAATTTTAGTGAGAGACGCTGCCGTAAAGTTCAGCCTATTGCCATGGCAGCCTATCAGGAAAATTTGCCATCTCATTATAACAGAAACTATCATGACACTAAAGTATGATATGATAAGATACAATAAGTAGTTTAAATAAGATGTGTATAATTTTTTGTATTTTGTAGGTAGCTCAAGCACTTTCAGTATTCGCTCAACATGCCCGTGGGCCTTTACTCGATGATTATATTCAAATTTTAGTTCAAGATTGTGATAAATTATGGCAATCAGGTCGTCAAATGTGTGAAACTCTTTCTTTAACTGGAAACCCATGTACACAGCCTTTACATAAAGGGGGTACTGTTGATGGACCTATCAAGGAACCAGAACAAGATGACAAGTAGTTTTTATTATTTAAACCAGGATGGTTAACAATGCTTGCTATAATATAATGAACTCTGTTACTTGATATTTATTCTTGCAATAGAAATATTTGAAAATATTTTGGCTTATTTATCGCATTATTTTTATAGATAAAAAACTCAATGGCAATCAAACATTTTCCCAGTATACCTACTAATATCATTAATACTATGAAATTTATATTTTAACATGAAAAAAGGCTATTTAAAATGAATATTTTATCCGAGTTGTTAATAATGAATAAATAATTTTAAATTAATCCCAGTTTCTATTTGTTTAACCTCCTATGGGTTTATATATCTCTCATACAAAATCCAGCCACTCGAATAACGCTTAAATGTATTTTATTTAGTTCTATAGTCTATTATTTTATAATATTCATTATAATAATCATTAACTCTCTCCATAAACTATTATAATATTCTAGTATGTTGTTTAAAAATATGTTATTGGACACAAAAAACAGGTTTTAAAATTAATAACAAATTTTTTCTTAAATTTTACGATGGACTAAACATTTTTTTTATTAAAATAATACCTGGCATTGTGAACTTTGTTTGTTAATATTAAATTTAATATTAGTCTACAGTGAATTGATTATTGTTTTAGGGGCTATTCTATACAATTCAATTTGTGAGGAACAATGTTAATAAATATTATATTTTAATATACTGATATTAACAACTCAGGTTTCACAATATCAAATTTCAAAGTACTTTTTATTTTGGTATACAATTTTAAAAAACTGATAACATAAGCTACTTGATAAGTGTTTTATTTGTTAATAATAAATTAGGATAAAAATAAAATATTGTCCACTAACTACATATTTGTAGATATATTATGTTATGGTTATCAAAAGTAGGTAATTAATAACTTGATTGAGTGTACATATACTTCAATACTTGGTATTTATAGAGTTAAAAGATTAAAAGTTTCTAAAATACTCAATCATACCTCTTTACCATTATATATTTATAGGTTTCAAATTTTTTTATTTTTTTAATAATTCTGCTTAAAATCAATGTCATAATAAACAAAAAAAGTCAGTAATTCAAAAATATTTTGTTTTAAATAAATGCAAATTTTAGAATATTATCATATTTGTTTTACTTTATACTAAAAATGATTGACATTTTCTAATTAGCAGCTAAATTATTGCTAAGATGTGCATTATTTGCATGGTGTGGAGTAACATATTTTCATTACTTAATTAATACTAATTAGTAATGTTTATAATATTTATGATATTTTTTTATTTTTTGATACTTTTTAGTTAGCTGCATTAATTATTTCAGCGTATTAATATAAAGACTGTAACTAATATTATATTGACTGTCAAAAATAAAATATTGAAAATTGGAAGTTTTTAAAGTATATTTTTCATTGCTTATAAATGCATAATTGCTTAATGTTCATTTATTTACATAGAAAAAAATCCTTGGAAATAATTTTAGTTGTTCGTTKGTTCAATGTATATTTTTATTGGCTTTACAGCCATATTAATAGAGACGAACTACCTACTATGGAGCATTCAAGTAGTGTCATGTACTTGTCAGCATGCAACTGTGGTCACAAGCAAGGCACTCGTGAAGATCCATTTACAATTAGAACAGCTAACTATGATTTTTATCAAATTATGGCCAATGATTGTGTCTGTGGTTGTTTAGATAGAATTAATTTTCCAGTGTTTCAACCTAGTACACAAGATTATAGGTGAGATTTCTAGAAAAACTTATGTATAAACCTATAATGATTAAATTGTTGTTTACATAGAGCGGCACAATTGTTTGCAAAACCTCCTGTGATTGCTGGTAGAAAGAACAGTGCCAGTCTGTTACACACACCAACTCAAATGGGTCATACACAAGTATTAAGTTTAGGAGGTAAATAAATGTTGTTTATATATTATTTCTAAATTATTACATTATTTTTGATATTTTTTTCCATTTTATGCATAGGAGTTTTTGCCAGTTGTCATTCTGTAGATCCAATAAATGAAATTTTGGGTGAAGCATCTCGAAATAGAGAAGTTCCTGACAGACAGGGTCTGACTTCTGTTGAATTGACAAACATGCAAAAAAATGAAGATATCAGTTCTGGAAATCAGATTGTTATTAGAGTAACTGATGCAGATGGTGATACAAAAGGTAATATTAAATATTTTGATAATTTGTTAATATATTGACTTCTTATATACATATATGATGGATCAATTTCTTCAGAAAAATCATTAGTTCGACAACCAAGCACCACAGAATACTTACCAGGCATGTTGCATACTGAATCACCAAATAGTTTGTTGCCTCAGTTCCCATCTTGGTCCTTAGTATGTCTAGGCTCGTCTTGCTTGTACTCGCATAATATAGGACTTCAAGAAACACAACATCCTGGATTTTTAAATTCTACAGCTTATCTTCTACCTTGGGATGTCACTGTTCGATTAGAACATCATCCTAGAGATAGGTACTGGAATTCTGATAAAAGTAAAATTAATTCATCTCCTATTCAACGTGGAAGAAAAACAAAAGGTTCTCGAGGTAATATATAGCAATTTAATTAAKTAATCCTAATATCAAAAGTAAAAAATGTAAATGGTAAAATTGTTGCTGTAGAATTTTCTGTTAAAATTTTCATCGGAGTTGAATATGAATGCCCAAGAGGTCATCGGTTTATGTGTTCWGCACCTGACAAGATATTAACTACTGCCGGTAATGGTATCGTAAAGGAAAATGGAAATAAAGTGTCTAATTCAGATATGCCATTATATTTTCCTTGCCCTTGCAGGTAATTAATTAATTCCAATTTTATTGTATTAAATGATTGATTTTAAAATTAAAATATTATTTATTTTACAGCTCAGCTCCTTTGATAGCTCAGCTAATGAGAATCCATATTGTAACTCCTAAAGCACCTGTACACGTAACTTTAAATCCTATGGTACAACCTGATGACAATGGTGGTCCAATATTTGTAACTGGATTTGATACACCTATTGAACTTACACAGAGTACATATTGGGTACTTCGACTTCCGTATCCTTTAGATTTTTAATTKTTTATATTTATTATTTTGTAATAAGTACTATTATATTATCATTCTAAAGATTGTTTTGAAAATTGCTTTCAATATTTATGCATATATCATATAMAATACCTTAACTTGATCGTGTTTAGTTATGTATATGCAGGTGATCGAGGTCCATATCTTCCACCAAAAGATCCATCACAGATAGGTCAAGGAAAACTCCTCAAAGGGGTTTACAGTGTAGCAGAAGCAACAACAGATAACAAACTTAACATTTAAAATAAATCAATACTTTATTTTTGAWAATATTTTTATTATTTGGCACAATAATTATTGGAAGGACTTAATTACATTAATAACACACAATTTATAAATAATGAAAGCATTTAATTTTTGAGTACAGTGAAACAAATATCAGTGTATAGTATTATTTATAATAATATTTATAAAATGTAAATAATTAACTTTTCGATTGAAAATTACTCTGAAGAGTGTAATGGAATAAAATTGATTAGTTATAATTATAATGAAAGACAATTTATTTTAATTAGTCAAAAGGGGTTTTTTWAATTTTCTCTGTACTTTTTACAAAATATTTGAAAATTAGAGAATTACTTAAAAATTAAAATGTTATTTTAGCCAAGTTTTATTTGTCATCAGAAATGGCAGTTAAAATGCAATCAGATGTAGTGCTTTTTGGTATACGTGAATTTTTATAAACAAGTTGTAAGTGTTTCGACAATAAATCAGCATTAGCACTCTCTAACATAGCCACCTTTTTATGTAATACACTAAGGTGTCTGGCCATATTTCGTAACTCGTTCTCCGACATTGMAATTCTAAGAAAATTACAAAACATAATTTTGAATGTAGTATCACATATCATAGGTGTTATATAATCTGTGGTGATATAAAAAATTAAAAACACTACAAATTAGATTTTATTATTACCGAAAATCAATATTGCGTTTTTCTTCTTGCAAAGATCTGTAATCTGTTTCTACTTGTTTTCGGAACTCTTCTTCTGTCTTTAATCTGCGTTTTTGTATGTTTAATTGTGCTTTAAGTGATTCTATTTGACACTGATTAGCTTCCAAATTACCTCTGGAAAATAAAAATAAAGAATTAAAAACAGAATATA